TCGACTTTTTATTTCGACTTTGACCTCCAAAGTCGAAACATTTCGACTTTTGGGTTTTCATTTCGACTTCATGTATAACTGCAATGCTATAGATGCTGCTAAAATTGCTACACAAAAAAAGAATTTAAAGATGTTTGATTTTGATCAGGTACTGTATATTTTTATTATTAAACCAAGTTATTCATTAAATATCTACTAATATTATAATTATTCTTTTTAGAGTTTGGTTCCATATAGACAAAAAATATGTGTTGCATTAGAAACTAAAACATTCTGTTCTTCTTTTACAGATATAATTGATAAGTTTCATGATATCTTGAATAAATGTATTGGATGGCAATCTTTTCCAAAAAAATTTCCAATTGACTATTGTAAAATTTGCAATTTTTGGAATTATCTGGGGTTTATTCAAAGAATACCAGAAACTCAAGTTCAAATAGCAAATAATAAGCCTTTATTTTCAAATAAAATACTGGATTTAGATTATATACTCAAACAAATATTTGAATTTTTTAATTTTTGTGAAGGACAATATGATGCTATATATTCATTTTTAGAGAATAAAGATACTTTAGTTGTATTACAAACAGGAGGTGACAAAACTTTATGTTTTGCAATGGCTGCACTTGCTTCTTTTTGTTTAACCGTTATTTTTACTCTTTTAAAAGCATTAATTGATAACCATGTGGTAAAAATATTAGCATTTATTTTACAAACTTTATTCTCAATATTTATTGATCTTTTCCATTTATAGAATAGTCTCATTAGTATAGGAATTTCTGCTGCAGGGCTTTATGCATTTATAGATCAATTTTATGAATATCAAAAACGTGTTTTTTCTGAATACTTGTTAGGGATTTTACCTATTTTATTTGTAACTCCAGAAAAGTTGGAAAAAAATAAATCATTCTATCAACTGCTCCAAAAATTTATGATGAACAGGGAATCCAATTTGTTATTAATGAGTCTTATTGCATGCTTGATTATAGTAATTTTAGGTAATTTTATTTGTAAAAAAAAGTATAATTGCTGTATTATAAAAAATAAAAATAATTTTATAACAATAACAATAGAGATTCCTAGACACATTTAGGAAATCTTAAAAAAGACTTTCCAGTCTCTCCTATTATGTAATTAACTGCAACATATACAGTATCTGATGTTAAAGATATTCGTCAAAATTTGTATATTTTACCAACCAATTTTATTATAATTTGTGGTTTATCATTGACGTGACAAGAAATTAAAATTCAAATAGAATCAAAACCTTCAAAACAAAATTTATATTTTCAAATTCAAAATATTTTAGGTGGCTTAACAATTGGAAGATATATTATTTATTGTTCAAGTCCTGATTCTTGTCAAGAATTGTTCAATAATTAGCATAAAAATCTTCCAACAGTTTCTTTTTGTTTGTATCATGGTAAATTAGATGGAAAACAGCGTAAAATAGTAATCAAAGACTGGAAAACAGATACTATTCAAATTATGATAGCAACAAATAGTTTCAGTATGAGGATTAATGTATCAGATGTCCATTTAATTAGATATACTGTAATTTGCCAAAAATAAGCACATCCCGAAAATAAGCACAAATATATTTATATAGAATCTGAAAATAAGCACATTTGTAAAATTTATTGTAAAAATTTAACTAGATATATTATAAATGCGAAATAATGTTTACAAAAAAAAGAAATAACTTGTTAAAAGTATTTATCGCTAAAAACTTTCATCATTAGTTTTACTTGTTACCAATTCCTCAATCTCTGATTCTCTATATTGATTTCCAATTTTGTTTCTTCTTCAACTTCTGATCTATCAGTCTCAGTTTCTGATTCCTCTCCATCTACATCAGAATTTACCAATGAATCTGTTATACAACCCTTCTTAAAAGATTCAATAATAATTTCATCAGAAATTTTCTCACATGATCGCTTAACCCAACCACATACATCACTTATTTTAGCACGCTGAAGATTTCTGTTAGCAGTATTTCTAGCACTGCCACTTTCTATCTACAGATGCCACTCTTTTCAGAGGTTATCCTTAAATGGCTTGTTGATTGCAATATAGAGAGGTTGGCAAATACTTGTTAATCTGTCAGGAATCACCACTAAATAAACATTACTTTTGTGAAACTTATTTTTGACCGATTCTTCCAAATGGTTTTTGAATGAATTGTATACTAGCATTGTTGGATTCCCAAATCTATTATCATTAAAGTAATCAATATAATCCTTCATCAAATTAACATCCATCCATCCGTTTTTCTGGAACAAAACTATAACACTATAAGAAATTTTTTCTTTTTCATTATATGCTAATCTCTTTCCTTTAAATATGCAAATAGGAGATAATTTGGTCCTATCTTATTAAGTAAATTCAAATTTAGGTAAGATTAAAAACCTACAAAATTTGCAAAAACTACTAAAATATATAGACAAAGATAAGATTTCAAAAACTTACTAGTAGCACATGTAAGAATAACTGTAAATCGATTTTTTTCATTTCCAGTTTCAAGAACATGAACTGTTTTTCACCTTTTTGATTAACTGTAAAATTACCTGCCATATCGAACCAAACAGGCATTTCGTTCATGTTATAAATATCGTACATTTTAAAAGACTTTTCTATTCTAAGTTGAGTAACAAATCTATTAAAACTCTCTAGCAATTCTTTAGTATGTTCTGGGAGTTTCTGAGATATTTTTGTGTGTTGATGCAATACCAGCCCATGCTTTTCAAAAATTTACGTAACCAGTTAAGTGATACTTTAAAATTATTTATTAAATTATAAATATTTGGTTGTTATACTTGATTCAATTAAAATTTCCTTCATTTTATTTTGTATTACTAAGCAATTTATAGCCAATCCTTGCTTCTGTTGCCCAATAATCCAATTATATAAAACTTTTTCAGTTTTAGGATATAAAGCCTTTAAACTGAAACCAATTTTCTTTTTTTTGCTACTTATTTTGGTTGTCCAGGTTTTACTTGCTCTAACCCAACGTCTAACTATACTAATATTAAGATTAAAGTGGTTTGTCGCTGCATGTCTGTCATATTGTTCTGCATAATAAACAATTTCCCTTTTCTTCTCAATAGAATATGAAGTTTGTCTAATCTTTCTAACAACTCTTTTACATTTTTGTAGCATTTTTTTTAACAGGTTTTTGCATTTCATTAACTGAGATGATATGATGATCATCAGATAAATTTGACGCAGCTTTCTATAAATCACATGAACTACCTAAAAATAAGCATCTTTATAGTAAAAAAGGTGTGCTTATTTTCAGTATAATATGATATAACTATTCCTCTATCAATGAGTATATATTATATTATTTTTAATTCTACTAACATTATTATTATGAGATTATTTACTAATACATTTTAACTTAGCAAATTTGATACAAGAAATGGGATGAGCAGGATGTGATGGATCACCATCAAAAGTATTGTTTTTTATTCAAGAAATAATATAGAATCTTATTTTTGATAATTACACGAAAAGATGAAAGGTATAATTATTATCTAATCTATTATCTATCATTTTATATAAGAAAATTTTAACAATAAATTAGTTTATTATAGAAAAATAATATGATAAAAAAAGCAAGGCATTATGAAGGTCAACAAAAAATATTATAAGTAACAAATTTTGTGAAGTGAAATATCTTTGTCAGCATTCATTAATTGCACAACATCTTTCATTATCAGAAGATATTTCCAATAAAATATGTAAAACATGTGATAATTGCTTATCTAGTATATCTAATAAGCCAATTTCAACTGACGTAGTTATACTGCTAAAAATTGCAAAAGAAATTTTAGCATCTGGTAAAATAAGTGAAATGGTAGCATTAGATATTGTGGTAGTCTATTGCAAATTGAAAAGAGCTAACGAATTTGGGCTTTCAGAATTACTAATTTATAATGAATCATTTGAATGTAAATTGAAAAATAAAATCAATACTTTATTTGTTATCAATAACTTTTGTATTAAAGGCTTTTTAATGTTAAAATTTATCAATTTTAAAACTTTTTTGGAATGGCTATTACTAAATAAAGGAAATAATCTACATGTCATATAATTATATATATATAATTCTATAATATTTAAAAATATTATATTTATATATAGTTACATTTTTATTTAATCACTAGTTTTGTAAAAATTGATTAGATAACTATATAGAGGTTTAACTATACAATGGCTTACAAAAGAAATGCAAGTAGAGTTGCTTGCCTTTAAAAGCTTATAACTCACCAATCACAAATGCTAGAAACATAGTTTGTATTTGTTTTAAACTAAACTTAGCTAATATTTAATAAAAATTTAATGTGCGATGATTAAGACCAATTTTGTGTAATTTAGCAATCTACATCAAAAATTCTTACTTAATGAAATTTAAGTGTAGAAATTTTTTCAGTAGGCTGACTACCCAAAAACCGATACTGAATTCTGATTCTTCTCAATGCAGTGATTCTAACAAACTAAAATTCGTTCAAATAAGATCAGTAGATCAGTGAAAAATCGGTAAAGAAGATCATTATAATTAAAGATGGTATAGCAATTGATTTCAAATTTACAAAATGTTGCAACATAAGCTAAAATTAGTTGCAACGTATGTTGCAACATTATAAGT